AGACAGAAATAGAAAGATACAAAGAGAGAGAGAGAGAGAAAGACCACGAGAGCGAGAAATACCGCTATACATGACCCGGAATGACTTGCAGTTTCCGATGCAGTGTCAGCGGCATAATGTTGTGTCATCTGAACACGATTCGATGTCAGGGCTTGGACAATTAGGCACGGGGCTGGAGAAGGAGAAAGGGGAGAGGGAACGAAAGGAGAAGAAAAAGGGGTGGAAAGAATGCATACGAAGGAAGGAGATGCGAGGGAAGGAATGTGGAGAGATGCGATGTGAGAGAATGCGAAGGAAGGAGAAAGGGGAGAGGGAGAGGGAACGAAAGGAGAGGGACAGAGATGGAAAGAATGCATACGAAGGAAGGAGAAGAGAAAGGGTGGAAAGAACGAATACGAAAGAAGGATGGAAGAGGTGAAAGGATGGGATACGGGAGAAAAAAGATGGGATACGAGAGAAGAGAAAGAGTGTGAAGTACAACGAAAAAAAGAGAGAGATAGACACACAGGAATAATTACAATGAATACTCAAAAAAAGACACATTCCAGACACTCCTCTATCCAACAAATACAAACAAAAAAATAAAAAGACAACAGACAAAACCTAAAGATAGAAAGCGAGAGAGAAACACCGTACTCTCCACGCATTCGAACACGCGTAAACACAGAAGCACACGCACACGAACACTCTCGCGTGACAGGGATGTGCACACTTTTTCTCGCCGCGTTCGTAATGTTGGCTGACGACTTCGTTCGTGACTTGCCGAGAGTGACTCGACTTGGCAAACATGCATGCACATATACGCTCATGCACATCAGTGTACACGTGTGAGCTTGCGTTTGTGTGCGCGAGTGTGCATGGCAAAGGTGTTTGAAAAGAGCATGAATGAGATACTGGGATAGTTAGTGATAGTTATTGTTACTATCATCATTGTTAATCATCATTTACATATTCTTATCATCATCATCATTACATTATTCTTATTAATTATTATTATTAGTAATAACATCATCATCATTACATTATTCTTATCATTATCATCACAGCTAGCCAAAGGTATATCTTCGAACAATAAACATTCATAATTTCACGAGAATCTCAAGCTAACTCCATTTTCCAAAACTATTTCGGATAACAGGCTTTCCAGCGACCTTCCTTAAATGGCCAAACTCATCTTTACAGCCTACGTGGGAGGGGGGGGGGGAGATAGGCCTACAAACTTTAAATACCCTCCAGCTAAGATGCTCTAGGAAAACTTTCAAGAATGTGGACACTCGAATCCTAAATACACACACGCACACATGAACGTACATTATGACCACGCACACACATGAACGCACGCACACACATGGTACATAGGAAAAGGAAAGGAAAGGGAGGGAATGGGGAATACATACCATACACACACGCACACACATGAACGTACATACCACCCACACACACATGAACGCATATACCATACATACACACGCACAGATGTTAAGAAAATGCATTCTCATATAACCCCAAACACACACCCACAAATAAGGAAATCCATAATTACAAACAAACACACGGAAGTACACACACACGAAACCACACGCGCGGAAGCACAGGACACATACGACCACACACACGGAAGTACACACACACACACACACACACACACACACACACACACACACACACACACACACACAACACCACACACACACACACACACACACACGACACGTACACACAGACAGACAGACAGACAGACAAACAGGCAGTGAATTATGGGCCAGCGGGCCAGCAGTGACCCGTCCTCGCCACGCCTTCCTGTGTCTTGCTTTCACTGTCACGGTTTCAGGTCTGTAATGTCAGTTCTTGGAAGGATTCTACCGGACTTTCTCTTGTTTGTTTGTTATTGTTATTGTGATTTTAGTGTTTGTTGTCGCTGTTAATAATACTGTGGCTGTTATTTTTCGTTACTTCATTGCTATAATAATATTGATATGTGACAAAATAGGAAACGATAAGAGTAATAATAATAATAAATAATAATAATAATAATAATGACAATAACAATAATAATAATAACAACAATAAATAAATAATCACCATCGTCATTATCATCATCAACATGAACGACATTGCTAAGACCATCAAGGATCGTGATTCTAAACCATGATAACAGTTATTTTTTTCCTCTTTTTTTCGCACACACAATCCTTAAGAAACAACAACAACAACAGTCAATTTTATAATTAACCCATTATCACACCCAACCTATTAGAATAACCTCACACCTAAGATTAAAGAAAAAAAAAAAAAAAGAAATTTACATTCACGATCCCTCTACTCATAAGGCGGGAAAAAGTATGTCTCATTAATATTAATACTGGCCTCTGATAACCACGCTAGGCCCTTTTCAGAGTGTGAGGAGGTCAAGAATGAGGTGTGAGAATCATGAGGAGGAGGAGGAAGAGGAGAAGGAGGAGGAGGGAGGAGGAGGGAGGAGGAGGAGGAGGAGGAGGAGAGGAGGAGAGGAGGCGGAAGAGAGGAGGGAAAAGGAGGAGGAGGGGAGGAGGAGGAAGAGGAGGAGTGGAAGGAAGACGGGGGAGGGAAAGGAGGAAGAAGGAAGAGGAAGAGGAAGAGGAGAACAGTGAAAAAGAAGAGGAATAAAAGGAGAACGAAGAAGAAAAAGAAATAGAGGAAAAGGAAGAGGAGGACCAAGAAGAACACACAGATGAACAGAAACAGGAGGGTAATAGAAAGAACAAATTTGTTTTTATCAAAGAGCTTGATGGCTAACAAAGGGCCGGACAATAGGTAATCAAAGCCCCGTGATGGCGTGCTTACAACGGCTTTTTGTTTTGTTTTTTGTTTCTCCTTATTATCATTATCACTTTGTTATCGCTTTATGTACATGACTAACCGTAGTGTAGATAATGATAATAATAATAAAAAAATGTCACCCATTAAGTACAGACAATTTATGTCTACTTTCTACCAGGTAAGAAATACAAACTACAGAAAATAGTGACCGCGGGTACAAAAAAAAAAAAAAAAAAAAAAAAAAAAAAAAAAAAAAAAAAAAGAGAGAGAGAAAAAAAGATAGAGATAGAGAGATAGATAGGATAAAGAAGGATAAAACTGACAGACCGCAATCACTTCCACGAACAACTTTATTTTGGACATTCCCGGTAAATAAATGACCCACGACAGCGAAACATTACTTAAGGAAAGAAAAGTTAAGAGAAGTCGATACATCAACTACTCCAGGAGGTTCGGTTGGGAGTAACAATAACACTAAATCTTTTGCTTTCTTTTTTTTCTCTCTCTCTCTCTTTCTTTAACACTAAATCTTTTGCTTTCTCTCTCTCTCTCTCTCTCTTTCTGATACTAAATCTTTTACTTTCTTTTTTTCTCTTTCTTTCTTTAACACTAGATCTTTTCCTTTCTTTCTCTCTCTCTCTCTCTCTCTCTAACACTGTTTCTTTTCCTTTCTTTCTCTCTCTCTATCTCTCTTCTTACACTAAATCTTTCCCTTTCTCTCTCTCTCTCTCTAACACTAAATCACTTCCTTTCTTTCGCTCTCTCTCTTTCTTTCTAACACTAAATCTTTTCCCTTCTTTCTCTCTCTCTCTCTCCTTTTTTATTTTTTATTTTTTGAGAAGGGCATACCTGCCATGAATAACTCGCAGGTCAGCACATAATTACGCGACCATAGATCTTTCTGACCTACTTCTGTGGGCTCTGTGACTTCGGGGCGCCTCCACCCTCTCCTCCTGCCCTCCTCTTCTTCTTCCTCTTAATCCCTCTTTCCTCCTCCTGCTCTAACTCTTCTTTTTCTTCTCTTTCTTCCTCCTGCTCCCCTCTTCTTTTTCCTTTTTCCTTACTTCTCTTTTTTCTTCTTCCTCTTTCATCCTCCTGCTCTCCTCTTTCTTCTTCTTACTTCTTCCTTTCCATTCTTCCACTCTTTCCTCTTTCTCTTACTGTCCCTGCTAGTTTTGATCAACGTGTCACTCGACTGCTAAAATATCTATTTACTGCTATTAAGATTCTCTTATCAATATCACTATTTTTACTATGATTCTTAGTATCAACATAATAATTATTTTTATCCTCAATGCTAATTACTAAATATCACTTTAAATCACTTTAATCATCATTGGCATTACTGTCATCTGCATTTTCTACCATTAACATGGAATCAAAATTACAGTCACCATCATCATCATTATCACCATCATCACGATTCCTCCACCTCCCTCATCATCCAAACCTCCCTCCCTCACCTTTACCACCGCAGACTCCCCACCTCCCACTCCACCATCCTTGCCTCCACCTCCCCCGAAGCTCTATCATTCGCATAATCCTTGAATAATAACCCGAGTTCCTCCCTCGGTTCCCTGGCATTTCCTAAACCGACGACTAAATTTCCTGCAAAAAAACAACTACAACCTCGGTCCTTGTGGCTTCACCTTGGGCTTCATGGGGAATACTTGGGAATTTAAATGATATGTCATAGACGCTTGTGTATATATATATATATATATATATATATATTATATATATATATATATATATATATATATATATATGCATGTTTAGATATTTGCTTCCGGGTGAGCAGAATTGATATGAAAATTGCATTATCATATATACATAAATGCATGTGGTTTTTATATATAATATATATATATATATATATATATATATATATATATATATTATATATATATTATATATACATACACATACACACACACACACACACACACACACACACACACACACACACACACACACACACACATATATATATATATATATATATATATATATATATATATATATATATATATATATATATATATATATACGGATATCAATAAATGCAGACAAAGGGACAGGAAGAGAGGCGCCTGCTATACATTCGAATGCAAAATAGCCCAAACCCCGCCGTGCATTCGCCGGCCAAGGTCAGAGAGCCAAAATATCAGGGCAGTGTCACCCAAATCATTCGCATTTATTATTCTGGGCATTCGGGGCCCTCTGTCACCGCCACCCCGCCCAAACGGGAACTGATATTTTAAGAGAAAACGTGGAAAATAGAAAACTACTTATTTTGACTTCCACTACTAGGGAGGGAGGGAGGGAGGGAGGGAGGGGGGAGGGAGGGAGGGGAGGGAGGAGGAGGGAGGGGAGGGAGGGAGGGGGGGGGGGAAGAGGGAGGAAGGGGTGGAGGCTGGACACATTGCTTGGGCGTCGAAGTAGCGTCGTAGAGGTGACAAATAGATCGAGTTTGCATGAAAGGGTAGACCTTATGGCATTCCGATCTCCGAATCTCGCCCACAAACGCGAATTGAGGTTAGACGAGTGAGTAATAAGGGTGAATATTAAGGGTGACGTCTAGTTCCTTGGTCCTTGTGTAGGAGAGTATATTTGAGACTGCTTTCGTGTATGTATATTGTATATTTTTTTACTTGCTTGCTTCCCTTCGTCTTTATTTGTCTATCCTTTTCTCCATCTACTTACTCCTATCTATCCATCTACCTTTATCAACTTGTCTCTCTATCTCTCTCCATCTATGTTTGTCAGTCTGTCTCTTATCTGGTTATGAGATGTACTTCTCTTTATCTATTTGTGTCTGTCTCCCTACCTATCGTTCTCTACCCCACTTCCTACTCACATTTCTAGGCCTATCACAAATACAGACGTGCTTGGAGGACTTTTGTAGACGGGAGGGGGGGAGAGGAGGAGGGGGGGGGGGTGAAGGCTCATATAAAGGAAAGCGGCACATTTACTTACTGACCCTTCCCCTGCCCCCTCTCCCTTCCCCCTGCCAGACAGCTCGACCAAACCGCAAGATGGAAAGGTAGGGAGGAGGAGGGAGGGAGAGAGGGAGGAGAGGAGGGAGAGAGGAGAGAGAGGAGAGAGAGGAGGAGGGGGGAGGGGGGGGGGGGGTGCAAGCCAGGGCACTGGGTATAAATCTGGAATAGGTATGGAAGGAGGGAAGGAGGAGGGAGGGAGGGGGGAGGGGGGAGGGAGGGAAGGGCACCTGGGCATTTAAATGTGAGACGAAGCGCATGTTGGGGAGTGTATTAAGAGATGGGGAAGAGAGGAGAGGAAGGAGGAGGAAGGGGAGTAGGAGAGGGATGGGGGGGGGGAGGTTCGCCCTAGGGTTGGACAGAATAGCCTCCTAGGCCTAAAGACCTCCCACGGGGGACTGAGGCTTGGGGGGGGGGGAGGGAGGCACTGAAAGCAGGTGAGTTGAAAAGAAAAATGGAAGAGACAGAGAAAGAGGAGAACGAAGGAAGATAGAAAAAAAGAAAAGTAGAAAAGTAAGATCACCGAGACATAAATAGGGATAAGAAAGAGAAAAAGAAGAAGAAGTGGAAGAACTTAAGAAGAGAAGAAAGAGGAGGAAGAAGAAGAAGAAGAAGAAGTAAAGAAGAGGAAGAACTTAAGAGGAAAGAGGAGAAGAGGAGGAGGAGACACCACGACTGTCACCCAAGTTCGTCACGAAGACAACAATGCCTCCCCCTCCCCCCACCTTCCCCCCCCTCCTCCTCTCCGAATAACTATGGAATGAGGAAGAATGAGAGAAGGACCTCCCCCTCCCCCTCCCCCCCCCCTTCCTCGCCCTTTATCTCGCTCTCTCTCTAAATAGCGAAGGAAAAAGACGTGTTAAGATTTCACGCAGAAACCATTCGCCATTGTAAGTCAGTCCCTTTTGTTCCTTCTCCGAGTCCTTATGCTTTGCTGTTTGGATATTTGTTTATTTTATTGTTTCTCTTCCTTATTTCTCTTCGTCTAATCCTTATATATATTTATTCTTTTGCTCCTCTTCCTTGTTTCTCTTCGTCTAATCCTTATATATATTTTTTCTTTTGCTTCTCTTTCTTATTTCTCTTCATCTAATTTTATGCATGTATCTTTCTCTCTGAATATTTGATTTTTTTGCTGTTTTCTTCTATTCCCAATTTCTCTACATTTTTTTTAAATTATTTTATTATTATTATTATTATTATTATTATTATTATTATTATTATTATTATTATTATTATCATTATTCTGCATTTATCTTTCTCTCCCATATACATAATCACCTTTAACATCTTTTAACATCGAACGTAAATCATCATTATTACCAACAACAATTAGTTCCACCAACACTAGAAGCCACAACCATTAACATCACAAAAATAGAAAAAAAACGAAAAAAACGAAAAAGAAAGAGAGAGAGAGAGAGAGAGAAATAAAAAACACTATTATCACGATCTTCCCCATCACCTGCAACGCGGGAGAGAGATATTAACGTCACTTTCAACGTGCAAAGTTTGAGTGACATCCAAAATTGCCATCCGACGAGACGCCAAGAAAAAACAAGGAAAAGAAAACGGAGATTCGAGGTTGACATAATGGAAGGTTTAAGAAGAAAATGGGAAATGATAAGAGAGAAAGAAAACGGGGAATTGAGGGTGGTATGCGTTAAATTGTTGGTTTTCGTTAATCTGATTTTTCTCTCTTTCTTTTGAAGAATGGGAGAGGGGGATGGTGATCAAGGGAGAAGGTGAGAAGGAAGAAGATAGGGGATAAAGGGAGATGGAGAAAGTGAGAAAATACAAAGGAGGGAAGGATAGAGAGAGATTATGAAAGAAGGGAGAATCGTAGGAAAAGAAAGAGAAGAGTAAAGATAAGATAAACAAAGAAGGAAGGAGAGAAGGAAGAAGATAAGCAAAGAAGAAGGAAGAGACGAGAAAAAGACGATAAGAATTCACGAGTCGAAAGAAAGAACTAGTAGAATCGACAAAAGAATGAAGGCAAAGGAGATTGTACTCACACACAGGAAGTTAAATGATGCTCTTTGACTTCACATTTCCTTGAGAAACTTACCTGTAAAAAGAGAGGAAAAAAAACATTAGAAAACTGGGTTACATTTTCACACTGCTTTAAAAAATGACGAAATAAATATAAGTAATCAATAAAGGGGTAATCAGTAAAAATAACCAATAAAGAATAATTCAAAGATAACAATCCAATGAAAATTAAAAATAATTAGAAGAACTATATACTGTATACATCCAAAATCGCATTTCCCAACTTTTCCCTATTTTCCCCTGACTTCAGAAGCCGCCAAGCCAACAGGGCGGTTAGTGTCCAAAGAGAAAAATGGATCCATTAACCCCCTCATAGCACAGCACAAACAATGTTAACAAGATCATTAATTAAAAGCAAAGCGAAAAGAAACTTTATATTTCTTCTCCTCTCGTCTTTGGAGCGAGTAAAACTGGCCCGTTTAGAATAACTTGTTTTACATTCTTGTTAATGGTTCGAAGAGGAATTTTGGAAAATACTTAAATCTACGGATAAACGTGTAATTGCACACGGAGAGAGAACACATGCATACAAAATGTCAAAATACACACAAACACCAGATAAATACATGTACAAAAATACATATATAGATACCCTGTATATACATACCCCTCACAAACATATATATAATCTCCCCTACCCTATTTCTTTCTTTCTTTCTCTCTCTCTCTCTCTCATACACACTTATGCAGACTAGGCTAGCGGTATCTGGCATCTACTCTTCAAAATGATGTCGACTCTCTGGTCTCTACTTTTTTTTTCCATCATCATCATCTAAGGAATGTTTATAGGTCTTGTCACGAGCTTTCCCGCGTTTAGGGTTCTGGGAAGATATTGCATCGCGTGAGGATCTGGCCATAGAGGTGAAGGTTGTCTTTTTTTTTCTTTCTTTTACAAGCTGGGACCCTCATTTTTGGCGGGAATTCGCAAAGTGGGATGGGGGGATACGAAGCTATTTTATATACAAATATCTTCACATAATTTTTTTTAAAGATAATTCTTCTATTCAATAAAATCGTGTGTAGTATCCTGACCCTCTGGAATGTAAACCAAAGGTTCGCAGCTGCATATAACTATCCTTATTGCCCAAAAAGCGTAATCTATATGGACCACGCGCACTACTCGGAATGCCACCGCTATCGTACGGTTTTCCAGGCCATGTGCGTGTATATATGTATAATGTACGTGTGATAGTACGGAGGTCGCCTTCCCAGGATGAGGGAGGGTTGGAGATGAAGAGGAAGGGTGAGGAAGGAGAAAAGGAAGGATGAGGAAGGAGGAAGATAGGGAGAGGAAGGGCGGAGGAAAGAGGAGGAGGAAGAGGGAGGGAGAGAGGATGATGGAAAGAGGAAGAGAAGGAGAGGGAATGGAAGGGAGATATGGAGTGAGAAAGGAAGAACGGAGAGAAGAAGGAAGAAAGAAGAGGAAAAGAGGGAGAAGAGACCGAAGGAAACAGAATGAGTAGAGACGTTTGATAAAGAAATAAACAATGATAAAGAAATAAAGAAATAGATAGACAGGATATATAATATATATAGATATATAGAGAGAGATAGATATAGATAGACAGACAGACAGACAGAGATAAATTAAATCCTTAGGCAGAGACAGGGGGTTTTA